CACATTCAGCCACGCTACATACTTTGCCTGATGTGCCAACGATAAATTTAAGTCTTACTAAACACTGGAAATTAAGAATGGACTGACTTCTATCAGAAGGCAGAGTTCGGATTAAGGAGATGATGTCAACAGTCTCCTAGAGGAGTTAGAAGCCGGCGTTAACTCCCGGCATTTGAACAGAGGTGTGAACTTGATAAGCCATTTCACCTCTGAAATGGTTTCACCATCAGTGAAAAGGGAAAAGCACCTACCTAAAAAGCTGTCCCGGTGAAGGTTATTCACAGCACCTGGGACATAGAGGTGGGCATTTTCTATTATATTTTGTGTTAATGGAAAAAAAGTTTCAAACGATGATGAAATACTTAAACACTTACAGTGTTACCAATATGCTTGAATGGGCATTGACACTCAGTTACCTTAACAAACGTCAATAGTCTCAATTAATACGAATGCTGTAAGTGTAACCAGTCGCTGACATTTTCCTCTCCTCATTGTACCTCTCAGCACACCGCACGCTCAGATGCTCTAAAATGTTATTTCTTGAGCACCTTTTACGAACACCTAATCCTTGGCTCGCTGGACACTCGTGGACGACTGGATTGACTCTAGATTAGAAAGTGTTCCTGCAAACAGTGCCTTTTCGAGGCCTGCCCGGTGTCTAGCTTTTGCTGCCCTGTAAGGAGTTAACAGTAATGACTGCATCCCTCGCAAAACCGTATTTCTCACCCAGGAAAGGCGCGCAACACTCCCACGTGATGGCTGTCCTTTTAATTATTCTGCTCTCCAAGTTCACGTCCCTGCGAGAAGAAGCGTATTCTGGGTCACGTTAAACACACTGTCGATTCATTGTTAGGCATACAGGAGGGCGACTCCAGCAACTGCAGCGAGGGACTTGAACTGAAACAGGTCGGGTCCTGTCTGGGTGAGGCCGGCGAGGCGCCGCCGCAATCCCCCACCCTGGCCCCGGAAGTTTGCGAGTCTCCAGTTGTAAGATCTGAGAGTCACCTTGACCCTCCCGGAGAGGTGGAGAAAGTTATAACGCCTTGGGCCGGAGACTAGGGGAGTAAAACCAAAGACAGAATACTTTCGGGAGCAAAACACGCCGACACGTTTTCCTGTTTTCAGCACAGCTCGAGACTCGAGAGTTTAAGGGTGGCGAGAGCAGGTGGCAGGACTCCGCCCATCACCGCATTTCCCCTCCCTCACCTCGCAAGCTCCACTCCCTCCCTGAAGTCCGGCCTCCCAGGCGCGCGCGAAGAGTTGTCGCGCTGTGCATTCTGGGAATCGTAGTCCCGGTGTCGGGAGCCGTCTCGGTAAAAGCGACTCTGGCCTACATACCCCATAGTGCCCTGCGGCGCCGGCCGCTCCCGGATGTGTGCCTGGCACCGGAAGAGAAGACGGCCCCCCTCTCTCGGCCCGGCCATCTTGT